AACCCCCTAAGTTACAAGGCCTTGGCTGGGGCGGAGAAGATCACCTTCTTGGCTCCGGCCTTCAGGTGAGGCTGAACCTGAGACACTGGGAACCCTTTTAAAGGGTTTATAGGGGATATATAGGGGTATATAGGGTTTAGGGTTTAGGGGTTTAGGGTTTAGGGATAATTATAATGGAAAAGAAAATGGAAACCCTAGGTCCCTTTAAATGGTTATATAGGGTTTATATAGGGATAATGGAAAAGAAAATGGAAACTACTATATTAAGATAGGGTATGTATTGGGGATAGGACCCTAGGTCCCTTTAAGGGGGGATATAGGGGTTAGAGGCTGAACCTGAGACACTGGAAGATTGGGGGTTTAGGGTTTAGGGTTTAAGGTTTAGGGTTTTAGGGTTTAAGGTTTAGGGTTTTAGGGTTTTAGGGTTTAGTATATCTGAGACACTGGAAGATTGGGAGGCCCCTTTAAAAGGGGATTTAGGGAGTTAGGGTTGAGGGGTTTTGGGAATAGGGTTTAGGGTCGAGGAGTTGGGTTTAGGGTTTAGCGTCTAGGGTTTAGGTGGGAGTTTGGGGTTTGGGGATTGCCTAGGGATTAACATTTAGGGACTAAGGGTCCCTTGAAAGGGGTTATTTTTTTTGTTTTTTTGCAGTGCTTGTTTTATAAGGATGTTGTAGAAATTCTGTTTACGGTGAGCTTATTGGGAATTTGCAGGGATGACATGAGGATTTTGTAGAGATTGTGTAGAGAGGTTTTGGGTATTTTTGGTAGGGGTTTTGTGAGGGTGATATAAGGATTACGCGGAGGTTGTGAGGGAATGATATAGACATACATCGGCACATAAACAGGTCCTTAGGGTTTTGAAGCCCTAAACCCTAAACACTAAATCCTAAACCCTAAACCCTAAACCCTATGGAGGGTTTAAGGGTTTAGGGTTCAGAGTTTGCGAAGCATCGCTGCCTTCCCTCAAGGCCCCCCTTCTAAGTCACTTAGCACTGCGGCATTCCCGGTGCCTAGAGTCCCCCTTAAGTAGGCAGAATATAGGGTACATTGTTGGGGTTATATAGGGATAATGGAAAAGAAAATGGAAACTACTGTACATAAATAGGGTATGTATTGGGTAAGTAGATAGAATTATAGGGGGCTGTGTAATGGAGAATCAAATGGAAAAGAAAATGGAAAATGAAATGGAAACTGGGATTATAGGGTTTATAGTGGGTATATTAGGGTTACATATTGGGGTTATATAGGGATAATGGAAAAGAAAATGGAAACTACTACATTAAAATAGGGTATGTATTGGGTTTATAGTCCCCCTTAAGTAGATAGGACCCTAGGTCCCGATAAGGGGGGATATAGGGGTTTTATTATAGGGATACTGGAAAAGAAAATGGAAACTACTATTTAGGGTTGAGGGTTATAGTCCCCTTAAGTAGATAGAATATGGCTTTGGGTATATTATAATAAGATCCCCATATACCCCACAGTCTATCTCCTTAAGGGGGGCTATAAGCTTTGAAGGTCCATAAGTTCTCCAGTAAACCTGTAACAATAGGGGTGCCCTTTTTCCCAGTGTTCAGTTCTAACAAGGAGACACCAAAACAAAAAACAAAAAAGGGTACTACTGGGGTACATAGGGCAGCGCCTGCCCTAAACCCTAAACCCTAAACCCTAAACGCCTAAACCTTAACCATAATTTCCGTCTGCTCGACCACGTAAACGTCTTCGAGCAAAGTCTTCACAATGTGCCCTCCCAATACCTTAAATCCTAAACCCTAAACTAGGGGCTCAGGGTTGACTTACGCTGTTTAGGTTTTAGGGTTTAGGGTTTAGGGTTTTAGGTTTAGGGCTTAGGGATGTTTAGGGTTTAGGTGAGAAGTAGATCCTTCTAGGAGCACCCATCTCACCCCAAACAACGAAGTAGCCCTCTATGTTCATGACCTTTCCTTCATGCTCGAAGCCCTAAACCCTAAACTCTAAATCCCACACCGAATCTCTGAAACCTTAAACCCTAAATCCTGACCCAGGATTTGAGGTTTAGGGTTTGGGCTTTCGGCGGGGTTAAGGCCTAAGCCCCTAAATCCTTGGGCTGAAACGCTAATCCTTGTTCCTTACCTAAACCCCAAAAGTATGTAAAATAATGGCCCTAAACCCATAATGACAGCCATAAAGGCCATTATTCTACATACTGTTGGGGTCCAGGTAATGCCAAAAAAACTCAAACCGCGCACCCTTGATCAGGCCTTCTCCGTGGTAAGGAACACGCCTGTAGACTCGCAGACGTACTCAGCACCGTGCCTTGGGTAGGGCTGAGGGTTTGGGGGTTAGGGCGGGTATGGCTAAGGGTTTAGGATTTAGGGTTGAGGGCGGGTAGGGCTAAGGGTTGAGAGAGTTTAAGGCTTCACATCCCTTTGGAACCAAAATATCTCAAATTAGGTGCGGTTTTTGGACTTCAGAGCCCAAAGTAGGCAGTCTTCACAAACTTAGAGAGCCCCGTGGTAATTCTGAATGACAAGAATATGGTAGGACCCGGATGCGAACGTCCTCCTCGCTTGGGTGTTTAGGGTGTTTTTTTGCCCTTTGGCCATGTCCTTGCTGAAGTTCTGCACTCACTCCTCATGATGTTCGTTGTCAATCAAGCACGAGGCTTGATATGCTGAAACCGTACAGACCTCAAGCCTTGACATCAAACCTTCAACTCTAAACCCCTGATAGCCACAAATTCCTAGGATCCCCCGGAGGCCCTTATTTCAAAAAAATAGGGTTTAGGGATTTGGGGTTGAAGGTTGCGGGTTTACTGTTTAAGGTTTAGGGTGTAGGGTTCAAGGTTCAAGGTTTCGACTTTAGGGTTTAGGGTTCAAGGTTCAGGGCATAGGGTTGACAGTTGAAGCGCCATTGGGTTTGGGGCATTTGGGGTTGAGGGCTCGGGGTTTTCCCTAACTTGAAAATCTCAGAGCTACAACCAGAACCCCTAAACTTCCCTAAACTCTAGACATCTCTAAATACTAAGTCCCTAAACCCTACACCCGCAAACCTGAAACCCTCAGCCGGGCCACTCTCCGAAGGGGATCTCGGCAGGGTCGCGGGTGTGGGACAGCGCAACCTCCAAAGTCTGAGGTCTCGAGGGCGGGGGTTTGGGGTTTAGGTTTCTTGGTTTGGGCCTCACGGCTTCGGTTTAGGGATCATGCAGGGTTATGTAGGGGCTATGTAGGGATTCTATAGGGTTATATTAGGCTTCTGTAGGGTTGAATAGGGATGAACAAGGTTATGAAGGGGATTCTATATGCTTATACAGTGGTTTGTTGGGCTATAGAAGGATTGTGTAGGATTACATAGGGGTTGCATAGGCTTGTATTGGGATTCTATAGGGTTATAGAGAGAGAGAGAGAAAGAGAGAAAGAGAGAGAGAGAGAGAGAGAGATATATATATATATATGTTCATCCCCACCACTATATATATATATGATATATATAACTATATAGGGCTGGGTTTGTGGTTTGGGGCGGAGAATTTTGGGCTTTGGTATGAAGGCTCAGGTTGTGTGCGGTCCTCTAACTCTAAACCCCGAACGCTTGTGATTCTGCCGAAAGCTGGCCCCTGTACGTACCTCGTCTTCTTGCTGGTAGCGTACTTACCGTCCCTTGTGTGTTTCTAACCTTGGACCTTAATGGCTTTCAATATTAGTTGGGAAGGGTAACCCTGTAGAATCCATATATAACCCGATATATAAGCCCAAGTAACATGATATAACACTAGCTAGCCCTAGTCCCCCCCATATTATGGCCCCATATAGCATTGGAATTGTTCAAGGTCCAGCGCTGCCACTGTTCTCTGCAAACCTGAATCAACCGCACGTAAATCATTTGCGGGGCCCTGGAATGGTCAGCTCACCATAACAACGACCCCCCAACGGCGGTTATAACAAATAAATACAAATAATCTGTTCGTACCAAAACATGCTACACTGCGTGGAAGTACGGATTGTTCGGGGAAGAATCGCTGGGGGCTAGGGATTCATAACCCTACATAACATCTATAGAAACGCTATAGAATCCCTACATCACCCCTAGATAAAGTCTTGAGATCTAGGAAGTGACACCGTTTACGCTTTGGGGTCTAGGCTTAAGAGCCTAAGCTGCGCTAAAACCCGGCAAGGGGCCTCTGTGACAAGTCATGTCCAGACCTGGATAAATGACCGAGTAACTAGTACCCATGTGAGGTTGAGGTCTGAAGTACCATTGAGTTTAGGGTCTAGGGCTGAGGGCTGAGGGTTCAGGTACCCTATACCCTAAGCCCTAAACTCTGTAGCATGATGGTACAGAAATCTAACAGGGTCAACGATTATTGGTAACATCTTGAGCCCGAGTAATAACTCCTGACCTCGAACACCAAAATCTGAGCACTAACGTTTAGGGCTTAGGGAACACCGATCACCGAACTTCAAAACACACTTTCACCCTAAAGCCTAAGCCCTGAACCCTCAACCCTAAACCCTAAACCCTGAACCCTAACCCCTAACCCCTAACCCCTAAACCCTGACCCCTCAACCCTAGACCCAATCCCTAAAGTCAAAGTAGAACGCACCAGAGCTTCAGGGCTTCTACCGTTCAACACAGAAGTGAAAAGCCATGTATCGAAAGAATGGGTTTAGGGTTTAGGGCTTAGGGTTGTTTCCCAAAAAATTCTGGCGAGCTAAGTGTTATGGTTTTTTTCCGAACAATTCTGCTGAACTAGGTGTTGTGAGTTTAGGCCTTGTGTTTAGGGTTTAGGGTTGGGCAGTGTACCGTGTCTTTTCTTGCTCTCCTAAACCTACAACCCTAAACCCTAAACAGGAGTTTCCATTCTTTTCCATTATCCCAATATAACCCCAATATAGCCTATAACCTCTACATAGCCCCTAGATAGCCCCATTAATCGTAAACCCCAAACCCTAAAGCCCAAACCCCGAACCCTTAAACCCTTAAACCCTAAACCCAAACCCTAAACTCTCAAACCCTAAATCCTACAACCTAAACCCTAAATCCTAAAGCCTAAACCCGTAAACCCTAAACCCTTAAACCCATAAATCTTAAATCTTAAAACCTTAAGACCTAAAACCCTACACACTAAATCCTAAACCCTAAACCCTCGATCCTAAACCTTTCAACCCTGAACCCTAAACCCTAAAAAAAAGCTGCCTTCTGGCCATCGATGACCAGCGAGTCGCCATCGACCTCGACGGTTCCATCGTACTTGCCATGGATGGTGTCGTACCTGAGCACCATCATCATCATCATCGATTAGGGTTTAGGGTTTAGGGTCTAGGGTTTAGGGTTTAGTGTCTAGGATTTAGGGTTAAGGGTTTAGCTGGTGTCGTACCTGACTTGTTGTTTTCTTGCATTCAACCCCAAACTCTACTAGACCTTAAACATGAGTTATGACTAGATTATGATAATTCGATAGTCTAAACTTCTCAAAGGGGGTTATATCGGGGATTATATAGCGCAGCACGAGAGGGGTTATTAAAGCGGGATACTATAAGAGTTTAGACTAGAGCTCATATCCTTACCCCCCTAAACCCCAATTCACTCCCTAAACCCTAAGCCCTAAACCCTAAATCCTAAACGTCCGTGCCTAGCCGTAGTTTATCATGTCGGGATCCATCCAGGCAAAGTAGTTGGCATTTGAAGGGCTGGACCTTCAAGCCATACCTTGCAAGTGCGGGGAGCAACTTGTCTACCATGTCTCGGAGAGCGGCCATGCTATTCTTCCACGTGGGTATGTCGTCCATGAACGCTCCGCCGTCACACTCCATGCCCTCCACGATATCCCCTTTTCCTTGCTCGTCGATCGATGTTAGTATGTCCTCGACCAACTTCGCGAATAAAAGTGGGGATTCCGTAGCGCCTTGCTTGACGCCGACATTCGAGGCACTGGGGTGATTTTCCCAAGGGAGGCAAAGTGTCATATCCCCGCTGGCAGGATTTAGGGTTAAGGGTTTAGATGGCGTCGTACCTGACTGGCTGTTTTCTTGAATGCAACCCCAAACCCTACAAGACCTTAAACATGTTATGTTTATGACTCGTCTATGATAGCTTCTGATTCATTATTGTGACTTCAGCTATAGTCTAAACTCCTTAAAGGGGTTTATATCGGGGATGATATAGGGGTGTACCATAGTGGCTATCAAAGGGAGATACTAGGAGTTTAGACCCTAAACCCTCAACCTCAAACCCCTAAACCACCCTAAAAACCCTAACCCCCTAAAGCCTAAACCCTAAACCCTGTAGGGTTCTTAAGGGGGATACTAGGAGTTAAGTGTATGGCTCACTTGTATCTTGTTGGTTGCAACCAACTAGTAGCTTCCATGTTCTTTTCCATTATACCTATATAACCCCAATATATACCCTATAATCCCTGTATAAACCCTTAAACCCTAAACCCTAAACCCTCAACCCTAAACCCTAAACCCTAAACGAGGGCTTATAAATCAGGGGTCTACATTACTATTTAGGGTTGATTAATCAGGGAACTGCAGCATCTTGTTGGTTGCCTTTCAGGGTTCCAGGACTAAGTTAGGGCTTGTAAAGGGCGTTTAGGGTTTAGGGTTTAGGGTCTAGGATTTAAGGTTTAGGGCTTAGGGTTTATGGGGTTTAGGGTTTAGGGTTTAAATTGGGATGGGGGGGGGGTAAGGATGTGAGCCATAGTCTAGACTCCTAGTATCCCCCTTATTAACCCCTTTAATGCTCCCCTATATAGCCCCCCCTACATAACAAGTTTAGATTATGGCTCATACAAGCTTAAAGCCCTGAACGGTTCAGGGCTTTTGGTGTGAGGATGATGTCATACCCTCGGGCCAGTTGTTGGGTTCAGGGCTTAGGATTTAGGGTTTAGGGATTTGGGTTTAGGGTTTGGGGTTTCAGGTTTAGGGTTTAGGGGCGTTAAAAAAATCAGTAAACATTGGAAAGATAACACAGACATACATAGACAAGAAAAACTTTGGAGAGAGAGGGAGTTAATGGAATCAGAAGGTGGGACCTTGTCAGCCGATACAGGGTTTAGGGTTTGGAGTTCTTAACCCCTAAACATAAACTAGAATACTATATGAAATCCTAAAAGGACCCAAATAATAGGGTCCCTTTAAAGGGGCTATAGAGGGATATATAGGGTGTTTAAGGTTAAGGGTCCAAGGACCCAAATAGTAGGGTTTTAGGGCCCAAATACCATTGATATTATACTATTTTGCCCTTGAACCCTGTTATTTGGGGCCTTGGACCCTTAGGGTACAATAACATCCTAAAAGTTCCAGGGCACGTCATCCTTCAGCCTAATCCCCCCCAAATATCCCCCTGAATCCTTAGACTCAAACCCCCTGAGCCCTGGAACACCAGGGTTTAGGGTTTAGGGTTGAGGGGCACCAACCAAATATTTCCCTAGGTGCCCTGAATCTATCTGCATGCATACATACAGACTTACGGTCCCAATACAGATAGATGGAAGTTTCCCTAAGTTAGGGTACGCCAATATAAACCCCACAATACTACAGTCCTTATTATGAGGACCCCTGTGATGGTACCCCTGCTTGTTGAAAACCCCTATATCGCCGTAAAAGAGACGAGATACCGGACACTTCTTCATTTCTGTGAACCTTAAAGCTCCCCCCCTGATCCCTGACACCCTGGCGGCTCTGCATAGGGTTTAGGCTTTAGGGTTTAGGGTTAGGTTTAGGGTTTAAGGTTTAGGGCTTAATCCTTGCTAATGGAAATCCCTTTGTACTCCATGTGTAGTAGTCCCTAGACCAAGTAAATAGGTCCCTGTACCAATCAAGTAGTCTCAGGGCACTATCATTTGGGCCAATGAGCCCTAAACCCTCTATACCCCTATATGCCCACAGACAGTCCCTACAGCCCCACAAAGTGGTCATATGAGCTATACGTAGTCTAAACTCGTAATATCCCCTATATAACCCCCTTTTAGGAGTGTAGACTATGGCTCACAGTATGCAATCCCTACTAGCCCCCAGAACCCTAAACCCTAAACCCTCATATCAACCTACACCCTGAGAGCACTTCATCATGTCTAGGATTTAGGGTACAGGATCCCCGGTTTAGGGTTAAAGGGTTTGGGGCTTAGGGTATAAGGTTTTAGGTCTAGGGTTTTAATGGAGCACTTCATCATGTAGGCCAGGTAATCCGCATCGTAGCTCGCGTTGATGAGTTTGAGGTCAGTCTCAGGATCCTTCACTCTATTCTAAGGGGTTTAGGGAATAAGGGGTTTAGGGTTTAGGGGGGTATGGGAGCTACAAAGTCTATACAGGGCTACAGAGGGATGTGTGTGTAGATTGATATTGTTTTCTATATATATTCATTCATTTACATGGGTAGTTCGGCTGTGGGTGTAGGTGTCTTGGGAGGATACAGGAACTACAAAGGGTATAGAAAGGATTTGTAACCCTACACGACAAATGTCCATATCGAAGTGCCCTAAGCACTAAGTCCTGCGCCCAAACCCTTAGCCCTACACCCTAAACCCTAAACCCCAAGACCTTAAACCCTAAATAGTAGTTTCCATTTTCTTTTCCATTATCCCTATATAACCTCAATATATACCCCCTAATAACCATAATCTGAAGCTGCAGGCCTAATACATGAGGCCCAGCAAGTCCTTATCCCAAAGCCTCAAGCCCCGCGAACCTGAAACAAAACCATCCGAAACCTAAAGGTTAAGGGCTTAGGATCTAGGGTGTAGGGCTTACGGTCAAGGGCTCAGGGCTTAGAATTTAGGGTTTAGAGTAAACCCCTAAAAACAAACAAATCACCCAAGGTCCCCTCTATCATCCCCAGTGTCCTGCAGCATTTAGGTGCCCAAAGCCGTTAGAAACTGTCAACACAAAGCTCTTAAACCCCCGAATCAGGCCTGAAACACTAAGCGCTTGAGCTCCAAGCCCTACATTCGAAACCCTGTAACCCTGAACCGCTAGCACTCGAGCTTTAGACTTGAAGCCCTAAACCCTAAACTCTAAACCATAAACCCCGAACCCTAAATCCTAAATCCTGAATCCTGAACCCTAAACCCTAACCCCTAAACCCAAAACCGTATTATAAACACTACACCTCTAAACCCTAAACCCTGAATCCAAAACCCGAGACCCTAAACCCTAAACCCTGACAGGAAGCCTTTAACTCAGAAGCAATGGCCGGGCCTTCATGGCGATGCGTGCCACCTGGCGGCCAATGCGGCCGAAACCGTTGATGCCGACGCCCACCGCCTGCCTCGGTAATGTGGGGGTTATATAGGGTTTAGGGTTTAGGGTTATATAAGGATAATGGAAAAGAAAATGGAAACCCTAGGTCCCTTTAAAGGGTTATATAGGGGTTATATAGGGGTTATATAGGGATAATGGGTTTAGGAATCAGGGTTTAGGGTTTGGGGTTCAGGATTTAGGGTTTAGGGCTTGGGGTTTAGGTGTGTTTTTAGGTTTATGATTTCTCAAAAATGTGGGACCCCTTTCGGGGTCCTAGGGATATATGGGGATGGACGTGGATGATGGGTGTTCTCTATAGGGATTATAGAGGGACTATGTCTAGCTGGTTGCTGGTAAGGAATGGACAAGCAAGCAAAGTGGAAGATGCAATGGAATAAAGCTGCGTGTACATGGCGTTTAGAATTTACTTGCTGTTTGTCAGTATGCTATGAAAGGAGGGGAAAAGTAGAAACTACTTTGGGTGGCTTAGGGTTTAGGGGTAGTTTGCAGTGAAAAGAATGCAGAAGAACACGGAAACTACCGTGTTAGTATGTTAGTAGGTTCCCTCTGAATTACCTAAGCCCCAAAAGTGTGTAAAACAATAGCCCTAAACCCATAATACTAGCCATAAAGGCAATTATTTTACACACTTTTGGGGTCCAGGTAGTGGGGCCAAGTAACTAATAGTCATATACTTCCCCAAAACCTGTACCATAGATACTATTACCCTAAACCCAAGTCCCTAATTATTAG